CCTATTCTAAAGCAGACGACGCTGCTGGTTTGAATCTCAATCATGATATGACATGGATGAAATCGAAAGAGGGACGAAGATTTGCTGAGATGAGGAACTTGACAAATCAGTTTTATGCTCTCAGTCACAGTGATATCGTTTGTATCTTTTCCAAAAACTTTGAAAGCGATGGTGACTAGGTACTTTATTGTATCAATACATTAGGCCTACATGTAAATGGGTCTGATAGTACTGTATTATTTATGGATTTATCGACACTTTCCACGGGAAATCCCGGCCCCGAAAGTAATACGATGGAGAGGCTTATGATCACTGTTGATATCAACTCAAAAGTAGCTCTTGGTAAGTCATATCTATAGATATTTACATGACATACTTTCATGATAATAGGCCTATTTTAATTCAGCATTAAACTTCACCCTTATGAGTATTAGTAAATTAAGAAAATGTAATAAAGGGACTGTCATTCATTTGATGGGGGTGGGAGGGAGGGGCAAATTTCATGGGTGTCAGATTATGTATTTACAGTGAAGGACAGATAATTTATTTTTATTTCCAAGATCACTGGGGGCTAATTTTTGTCAGATTGTACCTAAGATATATTTCTATTCAAAAAATTCTACATTTTATAATCATTTAGGGTATTTCGATTCACCTTTACAGTATTTACATTTTGACTTAAAAAAATAATTTTGGGATAAAACATGTTTGAAAAGTAAATTAATTTATCAATAATCAGGTAAATTTTGTGTATATTATAATTATTTTTGTTGCTCTGAGTGAGTGTTTCAGTTTGGTAAAATTTACAGTAGCCCTGCAGGGCAAGTTTAAAGGCATGTTTAGTAGTCCAAACTCAATATTCAGTTGTCGCGGGCCAGCGGACTACCCTTAGTGTCGAACCCTGGACAGATTATTTTTGTTTTTCTTCACTGGTAAAAACTGTGTCAGTGTGGTAAACATTGAAACTGTTTACATGTTGTTTGCTGGTCTGATGAAATTGACAAATCTTTATATTACAGCTGCTGTATAGTTAGAATATTGGCCAGGCAGTGGGACATTTTAATTTAATGTTAGATTTACTGGTTAAAAAGTGATTTGCCAATCAATTAATATAATTAAATTTTGGTTTTGCTGGTATACATGTATATTTATTTGATCTATTTTTTTTTCAGCCATCCAGATCAAGACAACGACAGTTGGAGAAAATCCTGTACTGTATACGTAGAAAGAAAGGCAGGCTGGTGGTTTCAGGAATATCAAACCTGTAACCCGATCATGAATGGACCTTATCACAGATCTTCTGTACGAACGTGGGCCTCTGTCGTCTGGTACAACTTCTGAAATGATTATCGTTCCTTGAAGTTCTCGAGGATAATGTTCAGACCCAAAAGATGAGACTGTGTATAATATAAGTCAAAAAGATTTTCTGTTGTTTGTTTTTGTGATGAATCATCAAATGGATTGATGGCGAAGATTGCATTTCTTGTCATAATTTACAGCTCCCCATCGTGAATACATAACTTTCCTTGATCAATTAAACTAACAAACATCGTAATGGAATCAAAGTTAAACATAAATCATGATCATAAAGGTATGTAATGCCGAATTTTAAATTTGATATGGTCCGTTGGTATAAAATGCGGGTATTTGTAGGATTTTCATACAGTGGGTGCTGCACAATAGAACCTTGGAAACTTGGAATTGTAGTGTCAAAGTTAAAGACAGTCTTAAGCTTGGAATAGTTTTCTACCCCAAAAAAGTCCCTTAAATAATTTATTTAATCTCTTTCTTTCGAATAAAGTCAATTAGTCCAATGTAAGATTGAAACGGTACAATTAAGAAATTAACAATACCGAATTTGATTTATATAGACATTAAAAATAAAAGCAGAGCAACAACTAAAGCCATAACTATCCTAGAAAAATAGAAATCTTGAAGTGCAGTAATCAAAAATACTCATAAAAGTATCTCTGAATCCACATAGTTATGTAAATTTATCCACAGTATTTCTTTACAGTGAAAAAGTTAATAAAATATTTTATTACATTTTTACCCGTGAAATACTGTAATTTATTCATTGAATTAAAATGATATCCTGTCACAGTGTGAAAGGATATCAAAATGATATCCTGTCACATTGTGACGAATATCAGAAGTGCGGGAAAACTCTCGATTTCCTTTCCAATAACGAAGACTGTTGTAAAAAACATCCTTGACCTAATATAAGATAGTTGGAAATAAATTAACCATTCTGACAGCGAATAAAACTGTCAAAATTACCAAAATTATGATTTTAAATCCATGTTTACAGTGTTTTCGCTTCACATAGCTATGACGTCTCAATCGCTCTACTATGACGTCACGAGCCTATGACTGTATTACAGAAAGACCGAGGCAAAGGAAAAATTCAAAGAATTTTTATTTGAAAATGTAATAAACAAAAAAAAATCAATGTTTTATAGTTGAATATGGAATTTATTTCACTCGTGAGACAAGATTTTTTTGATATTTTCACTCGTGCTTCGCACTCGTGAAAATATCAAAAATCTGGTCCCACTCGTGTAATAAATTCCATATTCAACTACAAAACATTGAATATCCCCTATATGTTAAAAAAGTTGTCAAATTTTTTTTTCATCTTTTTTTTCAAATATTTTTCCAGAAAAAGCGAATTGGAATATCAGCAATGCATTTTAAAATTGCAAATTGATCAACAAAAATATTTAAGGTTAAAAAACGATAGGTATCCAGTCATTCAGAGTAATTGTAATGTTTTTATACTTATTTGGTATTTTTTGTATTCTATAATACATAGTGTAAAAGGCTTTTGCTATCATTGCAAGACATCACAAATCACTTCTTATTTCATAAAATGCTAAATAGCATTGGTATCTAAGATTGAATTTTAAAAAATCTTATTTCTCTAAAACAGTTTTAATTTTCTTTTATCCTTTTATAGGGTACAAATGTCAACTTTTATGAGACCTTTTCTAAGACTTCAAAAAACCTTGAATCTTATAAAGATGAATAAATTGAAATTGTTGCATGAAAACTTTTCATTTTCAAGCTTCATTTTGATGCATTTCAAATTGAATATTTATTTTTGGAGTTTACCTTCCTGGCTAAGGATCGGATATTCTTAAGCTCTAACACTTCTTCTCACTTTACTTAACGGAGCAATTTATCGTTTTTCACTTTCTACGTAAATTCTGCATCAAATTTTAACCTCATGAATCAATTGCATTTCAAAGATATATAAAATAAACAAGAGGCCCATGGGCCACATCTCTCATCTGAGCACATTGGCTAGGATATAAAAGCAGAAATCACTTCAGTATTGAGAAGTTAACAAGGGGGTGGGGGTCTGGAATTTTATACTACCAACTACCTGATGATGCTTCCATACAACAAATGCCTTCGCTGTTTTTGAGCAGATAATTTTTATCCTATTTATTCATTTGACCCTCCCCCCATTGTGGCCCAGCCCTACCCCTGGGAGCCCTCATTTGAACCAGTATGACGTTGTACTACCTGAGGATGCCTTCATATCAATAAGATTAAACATGACTTTTCTGTTCTCGGGAAAAAGTTTCCTTGATATTTTTAGGCAAAACTTTGATCCACAATTGTGGCCCACCCAACCCAACCTCTACTTCCAATTCATAACTTGAACAAACTTAAGCTTGAATCAACACTACGTGAGGATGCTTACATAAAGATATGACCAATCATGGCTTTGTGGTTCTTAAAAGGAAGATTTAAAAAAAATTCTGATGAATTCATTCCTATGAAAAACTTGAATCGCCCATTGTGGCCCCGCCCTAACCCTGGGGGTCATGATTTGAACAAACTTGAATCTACCGGTACACTACCTGAGGATGTTTTCACATAAGTTTTATCCTTCCTGGCTAAGTGGTTCTTGAGAAGAAGATTTTCGAAGACTTTTCCTATATATTCCTATGTAAATCTTTGATCGTCACTTGTGCCCCGCCTTATCCCTGAGGGTCATGATTTGAACAAAATTGAATCTACATTACTTGTGGATGATTTCTTATAAATTTCATCTTTACTGGCCAAGTGGTTCTTGAAAAGATTTTTAAAAATATTTTTCTTGTATATTCCTATGTAAAACTTTGATCGTCAATTGTGGCCCAGCCCTATACCTATCCCTGGGGGTCATGATTTTGAACTTGAATCTACACTACACTCTACCTGAGGATTGTTTCACATAAGTTTTATCTTTCCTGGTCCAGTGGTTCTTGAGAAGATTTTAAAAAAAACAAAAACTTCTATATTCCTATGTAAAACTTTGATCAGCCATATAGAATACTACTAGTATATGTAAATACATGTATAACTTAGCTCTCAGACTAATACAGTAAAACTCGGTTACATGTATAGAGAAGTCCTCGGGAACTGTGAATTTAATTCGCTATATCTGTAATTCGTTGTATCCATATAACGGATTCGTATAAGTGTATACAGCGAAATCGCAATATGCACGTGTTCCTACAAGTAATACAACTGAATATGGTAGGGAAATAATTAATACAATACATGTACATAGCGTGACTTACTGTGGTTTTTATTACAAATTGAATTTCATTTGCAAATACTTACTAAAAATAAAGTCAGTTCAATATATCTACATTTGAGATTTTTGAAAATTCATTATAAAAGATGTAAATTTTATCGTTTTTAACCTCTACGGGACTCAAAATCAGTTTGCTATATTCGTAAATTCGCTAAATCCGAGATCGTTATAACTGCGAAATTTTACAAAGAATTGTTAAAAATTTTGTCGGGGACCCAGAGAAACTTCGCTATATCCGTTAATTCGCTAAATCCGTGTTCGTACTACACGAGTTTTACTGTAGTATCAACAAACAAACTCTGTCAAATATATTGAAATATAAAAAATACTGTTTTACCCTTAGCTTTTCAAGTGACAGGTGTGGGTCACTATATCGAACTAAAGTGAAAGAGGAAGTCTAACAGTGGGAAAAGATAAGGTTAAAAGGTGTGACTAAATCTCACAATTTAGAACAATGGAAGGTATATACCAGCTTCTTTGTTGAATTAAACAATAATTGCCGGAATCTTTTTAACGAATTTAGGAATTGTAATTATATGTCTGTCCGAGGTTATGTGTGTCACACCAAAAAATAAAATTGCTTGTTTTCATTACTTTGAATGAATGTTTTTTACTTATAATTTTAGATCAAAATGACGCTATGCAACGTGCATTTCTTAGACATTTGTACAAGTCAAGATGTAAGCTACAAGAAGGAGAGAGCACTATAAAGTTTATTGAATCGGGTGTTAGGGATTTTGTCGCTAAAACTTGTGATCTGGTTGGAGAAGTAAAGCCAGTTTTCCAAATTTCGCAAATCATTCCCGCTGGAAGCTTTTATGAAGGAACAAAAATTGGAAGAACAGACGAGTTTGACTTTATGGTCATTTTGAAGAGACTATCTGGAGCTGACAAATTACAAATACATAATGGATGCAGTCCGTGGTATAAAAAACTTGAACTCCAAAAAGGTGTTCATTTAAGCCAGAAGTATATGTGTAATTGCCACATGTACAAGGAAACGTATGGAGACTATTTAGGTAATCCACATGTACTTGTGATCGATTTTTGGAATAATGTTTCATCTGTAACCAAATCGAATCCATTACATAGAGAAAATTCAGAGGGACAATTGTACTCAAAAGTAATTAATGAGAAACGAAAATTACTGTTAAATTATGCCATAAAGCCTTCAATGCCATTAATGCCGGGGTCTACAGAGAAAAGCCTAGTTTCTTTGAACGATGTAGATATTGGCGTTGACCTTATGATGGCCATAGAACACCCATTTCCAGAAACCATAGCCTCTCAGCCTTCTTTTCCTTCAGAATTCAAGGATTTGCTTCACAGCCACGGCTGCCACATCATCACGAAATCCTGCCATATTGAACATTTTCCACAGCCAACTTGTTGGTTCATTACTTTCGCAGCGCTAGAGCTACAATTGATGAAAAATATGGACACACATCACAAAGAATGCTACAAAATTTTGAAATCTTTGATGATTGGGGAGGTAAATTTTCAGGGAAAATGCATGAATTTGTCATCATACGTTCTCAAAACGGCTTTTCTATTCCACGTCTACGGATCAAACAAATGCACACATTCAAAATTTGATGTAAAATGCATTATTGAAGTTCTAAACTACCTTGCCAATTGCTTGTTTAATTTTGATATGCCTTGCTTCTTTGCAAGAGATATGAATACATGGGGTTACTTGTTCGAGTTTCCTTGTTTTACATGGTCTGAGTTTAGCAAATATCCAGACGAAACTTTTGGGCTTTGCTGGATGAAAATGTGGTATAAAATTGTCCTATTCATGAAAAAGATAATTGGAAAGGAAAACATTAATGAAAAAAAGAATTGGATGGTAGTAACTGACAAATGTGATTATATCAAAGGAGTAATATTTTATGTGCTTGAGAGATATTCCACTTATACCCTTACGGAGGTGTATAAGGGACAGCTTCCCCAAACAGAAATATCTGGACTGACTCTTGCTTCTTGTTCTGACCAACAATTCACGGATTACATTCAAAACATGAAAAAATATCACAACATACAGCTAGATATGTTGTTGTGAAAATTCAGACATAAGCGTTATATTCACATTTAAATAACAAAGATTAAGTCTATAAGTGGTCATTATGTGATTTGGGTTCTTGAACTAGGTTGAAAACACGTATTTCTAAGACCTCTGCAAGGAATGAATACAGTTTGTTATGTGAAAAACATATCTGGATACGACCAAAACCCCCATGTGTTCTGGTCTCAAACCAATTGAAAAGTCTTCTTATGTGCGTATTTGTGCGCGCATTCAGAGAGGGCGTGTGTCTGTATGTTTCATTCAAATCTATGCAATTCAAATTTACGTTACATGTAATGTCTTTAAAAAAATATTTACTGCCAAATAAATTGCAGATCGAAAAAATATTGGTTTCGAACTACATGTATAGTCATTTTTGGTCATGTTTTGCATATATTGCAGTAGTATTTTCTTCTATTTTCGTTTCTTCTATTTTCTACGGGTCGCCTGCGTGGCGCAGTGGTTAGAGGGTCTGGTCTGCTCTAAAGTCGCGAAGTAAGGAGTTGATACTTACGTCGCGTGTTCGAATCCCACTGTGAGACGTGGAGACCGGTCCTTCGGATGAGACCCATAAACCGAGGTCCCGTGTCGCAGTAGGTGCTGGTACGAAAATATCTCTCCCTGCTCAATGACCCTAAGTGCCGAGTATACGACAAAATTTGCAGCTCTCCACCGACAAGTGTTGGCGTCTCCGTATGAGTGAAAAATTCTCGACAGGGACGTTTAACAATATACAATCAATCAATCAATCTTTTTTTCCTACGGAAGCCTTGGAGGTACATTGACTTACTTGTTATGACTTAATTGTTATAACTTGTTTGTTGTGACCTACTTGATATGAATTATTTTTGGTTAGTTGAAATTAAATTTAACGTAGCTATATTAGCGGGTCTTAAAATGATATGTTTAGATCTAGTTTAACTAGTAGTTGACATTTGTCAGTTGAGTGAAATTTGTAGACAGATGTCTGATGTTTACAAGTTGAAAGCTGTCAAACACAGTCCTTCTTTGATCCCTCACCCAGAGTCCCGTACTACAAGTGAATATTTCAAAATTGGGGGTTTCTGTTTATGACAGAAATGGACATTAAGTTTATAAAAATGCAATTTAAAAACGGGTAGAGAAAGCAAGCATGCAAGTCAAATGGTTTATTGAAAGTTTAAATCTAAACTTTAAACTTATCTAAATACATGTAGTAATAGATAATTTTTAACTCCAGATTTAAACTTTCACAAACTTTGTACAACCGTAACACTTATGCAAGGAGGGGAAAATGTGCTTTGCTCCTTTCCAAAATGTATTTGATTGTTGAGAAAAAAAGAAGACAAAAAAAAAACCAAATTCCTCCTTCTTTTTTTTTTTTTTTACTTTGTTTTGACATGCAGCATTCCAATGAGTAAATATCGTTGAGGCATATGATTATAAATGTTTTGGGTGATTTTTTTGCCCCGACAAACATAACATGAAAATTCTGATAACCATAATCTTGTAGGGACGGGGCACCCGAAATTAGCACTTTTAACCATTTGAATTCATTTTAGAAAAGTTTTACAAATCCTAAAATGTTACATAGAAGCAAGAAGAACACAGTAATGTATCTTCAATTTCAATTTCCTTAGCTCGTAATTTTTTGCATGTTTTTGTATGCATAATTCTTTAACACAACCGTGTCCTGCTTTTTAACTTTATACAGGAAATACCACACAGATCAAAACCGTTCTTATATTATTCAAATCTATATTTATTATTTTTCGTCTTGTACAAAATACAGGTTAATCTAAGAAAGTATGTGACTAGTTTAATAACTGTAAAAAAATTAATTATCTAAACATCTATAATTGTTATTTGCAAATGGGAATAGGTGGAATGGAGATTTTTAAAAAGTGAACAGGGTGTCCTGTTCGGGGGGAGATTTTTAAAAGATGAATGAGGTTGTTGTTTTACAAGCCTCATAAATTACGTTTAAACCTACATGTATTCATGATCACGAGTATTTGCTAGAGCTCGATTGGAAGGTACTGGGTTTTAGCCCCGATCACGCCTGTCCTAAGTTGATAATCAAAGTACTGAATGTACTGAAAAGCGGTTAGCATGCTTTCATCTAAGACGTTCAAAATAAAAAAAAAATGCATGAAATGTTGATATTGAAGTATGCATATCTTTGTCCAATGTCATTAGAGAAGAAGCAGACATTCTGAATTTTGTAATGCTTTTTTCTAAATAGTATTTAACCAATATCATCCCAGATTGATGTCACAGATGCATGTTTCAAAATATCAATATGAGATTTCTTCAGTTTGAAAGACAGGAATGCGATTTTAAATATTTTCTCTCTTGGTGGCATCCAAAGGTGCTCAGAACGAAAAAAAATATTTTGACGTTGCACATTAAATTATCCTTCATGCTCTATGGTTTCTGAAATTAGGTAACCGTTAAGCTATGATTTCTAAAATTAGGTAACTGTTAAGCTATGATTTCTGATATTAGGTAACTGTTAAGCTACTATAGCAAACAACTCAAAAAGAAAAAAACAACAGATAATTAAAATTCTTTATATTTATGGATTTGGAGCAGCTGTAGATCTTTAGCCCGCTGGTCTGAGAAAAGGGTTGGATGAGCAGAAAATATTTTTGGGTGAAATTTGTGATTCCTGTCCCAAAAATGACTCCGCCTGCAGTGCATCTAGTGACATTATCATTTCATCAAGAAATATGCCTTTCTCTTTTAAAATTTAAATTGCTGTTGGATATATTTTTAAACATTCACGGAATAGGTCTTAACAACGTCCAGCATTCATGTACAAATTTTGTGAAGAGGATGAGACGTTTGTTTATTATAATATAAACTGGATGTGGATATTGTTAAATTATTATTCATAAGGATATCATAATTTATATGTGTCTTTTTGGCATTTGATTTGCCATTTCCAAAAATGATATACTGTTAATATTTCATATATAAATGTTTGATAATTATGCACAATTGGTATTAAATTAAAAATTTATTTGCCTGTTCAAATTACTAATAAAGTTCAGAAAATATTTTGCATTTTCTGTATTGTTTTCAACATTTAAAACCTGTACATTAAGTTACCTGCTATTGTATATTAAATTGACAAAAAGCTGTCGATTAAGTTAAGAATTGAGAGTTTTGTGAACTTTGTCAACTTAATGTACGGTTACAGGTGATGAAATGTACAAGTTTTAAATACCCAAATCTTTTATGCTATATAATGTACTAAAACACAAAGGATCACATAACAAAAATGCTTTAAATTGGAAGTACTAGTAGTCAGAAATCAAGTGAGCTATCATTGAAATCTTTTACGTGGCACTGCCTTTTAAGTTAAACAATTCAGCTATATTTTCACCCCTCGCTCTCTGGACAATCATGTGTGTTACGTCGTCATAGCAAAAACCTAACCATCACAGGGATAGTTTATTAAGTTTACAAAAGAGATAATGTTTTAAGTAGGATAAAGTCCTCAAACTGTCCATTCTATGAGAGAAAAAACTATCCTCGGACCATTCGGCCATTCTCACAGAATGGACAGTTTTCGGAATTGTCTCCTTTACATAGTTTGTCCTGATCGTCTATAGTCAGGAAAACATTCAAATCTGAAACAGATGTGGCAAACTCTTTGGTGTCTTTTATTTCCATATATCTAGCAAGTATCGAGTCAACATATTGGTAGTAAAGGAAGTATAACTATTCCTAATTGATATAACGTCGTCGATAATGTATTTATTTGGATGTCGAGTTGACGACCACAGCTTGTGTTGAAGAACAGTGTAAAGATATTAAGATTAATAACAGTGAGAGAAAAAAAATAACATACAAGAAGAGTTATACATGTATTGGAACATTGATTTTAAAGATAATGTTTGGAAGTAAAAACTTATTCAAACCAATCACTTCACCCAAAATGATTCCACGTTTTGAAGTTACGCTACAATAATAAAACCAATCACTGCACCCATTAATAACAAATATACGATACCTATAAATACATGATATATACAGAACATTTACAAACAACCTGAGTGACTTGTACAATAAGATGTTAAACAAAGATGAAAAAACTAATCTAAACACCATCATACCTATCTGTAAGTTGTGCAGCAGAATGAAGCAAATGACGAGTAATTAAAATTTACATCGATGTGTTCAATGTTTAATAGATTGTATTATTGTAATGTAAAATTGCTAATTTTCGTGGGACTAATTTTCGTTGATTTTAAGATACGAAGAGACCCACTAAATCATGTCCTCCAAGAAATATAAAAATCAAAATAAAGACAACACAACTTTTCACCCATGAAATTAAATTCTTACAAACCAGAACCTTTT